CGTAATCATACTTTTAATTGTATATGGAAGAATCAAGCATTAAAATAAGACTTGGTCCTGGGCAATTACTTAACCTCTCAGAGTTCTCATTGCCTCATTTAGAAAATAATAGTACTAGTAGTGCCTGCTTCATAGGATTTTTGTGAGGATTGCATGAGATAATAGCATGTGGGATCCTGGGAAATTAGAAAGTATTGTACGCATGTAAAGGAGAGCTGTTATTACTATGTGGACCGTCTCCAAGTGAAACAGATCTCCAAGGATTTCTAAACTCCTAGCTCCGGGGTTGGTGTGCCTGTAAGACCCTGAGGAATGACTCAACGCTCTCAGCCTGTGATCCAAGCAGCTGACCTAAGGGGCTAAGTAGAGCTTCTCTCCCCTGACATGATTCCCATCTGCCCCTTGAAGCCGACGCTGGGTTATAATTACTGCCGTTCCTCACTCGCCAGGGAGGGCGCATGCTCCCCACAGGCCCAGCTAATGGTCCAAGCTGCACGTCCATACATTCCCTGGGGTCTCCTGCATAACGAGGCCCCCTGGTGCTTACCGTCACTGGAAGAAATCTTGGCTCTTCCGAAAGAACCCTGAGAGGGCTGGTGGCAATCTAGCGGTGGTGGTTTGTTTTCTTGCCTTCCTAGCTTAAGCAAGAAGCTGCCACAGGACACCTGTAGAGCCCAGTGAGAAAGCCCAGCAAACACACTGCCCCTTGTAGGAGGGACAAGCCAGCATTCTAAAGCCTTGGAGATGCACAGAGGGCCAAACGGCTCCCGAGGGGCCATGGCTGGACAACTCAGCCCCACATTTTGGGCAAAAGCACTCAGGGAGAGAATACCTGAGGGACGGAGTTCAGGAGCAGGTGGCCCAGGAATTCGTGATTTTCCTTTCCACAACGCCCCCAAAGGGGAAGACGGAGGACTGGCTCACATCCCCAGCTCCCGGCCCTGAGACTGGTGTAGAGCAAGCACATGTAAGTGAGGCAGAGGAGGATGAGAGGGGCTCAGGTTCAGGGATGCTTAACAGAGATGGTGGACAGGAAATAGCTGATGACTGTCTATTAACCATACCTGCCGCTGACGGACTGTCTTCTTAAACTTTATGAATGTATACGTATAGGTACTTTTCCATGACGTTCACTTACTTTTTATATCAATGACATACATCCGAAAAAGACTTCGGTATATTTTTTTCAATGTGACTTTCCC